AGAGAACAATTCACGCCTCAGGAAAAGGAAACTTACTGTCTCAGCCTTATTTCCAGGTTCAGAAAGAAAGTGTTCACATTTATCAAATGCTATCATATCAACAAGAGCGAAAGTAGGTAAATTCTTTGGTTCAATTAGCTTCTGTGATGGTCTCACAGCTCTCAAGATATAGGAAACTAATTTTTCTAGGGAGTCCAGCCTGTTTCGGATTTCCATTTGAAGGGAGACAACAGTAAGATGTTCAGCTGGAAAATAAAGTAAAATGAGCAGAGGTTGAGAATAGAAAATTTAACTAAAAGCAACTAATGGACAATATTAATACCTTCTGATATTTTTTTCATGTCTACTTTCTTGTGTCCCATTTTTTTAATTGAATCTTTTGGCATGGACGGAGCGCCATAGTCAAGAGCTCTTCTCACTGGAGCCCCAGAAACAACATTAACTGGCGTATGATTCTCTTTATCTTCAGATAGATCAACAGAAAATGGTTGGTCCTGGCTTGCAAGAATTCCTGCAGGAGACAGACTACTCTGCCTCAGTGGAGATTCTTTTAAACATTCTGGAGTTGTGAGTGGGGATTTCTTATTTGAATTTGAAGACTGAAGAGGGGACTTCCGGATAGTTCTTGAGGGCTTACTAGTTGAAGACGAAGAAGAATTTTTACCGCCTTGATTTAGTTTTTCTTTTATCTTCTGTGATATTGACTTGTTGACGGTAGGGGCAGAAGGATGTTTGGACCGTTTGCTCTGTACTTCTTCATCATCCTCATCATCGCTTATCCTATTGACAGTTCTTCTTTTCCTGCTCCTACTCCCTCTGCCAAGTTCTTCAGTTTCTGGCTCCAGACTGGAAGTCTCCTCTGCTGTTCTTGAATTAGCTCTTGCAACAAGAAGAGAATCTGAAATAAAAGTGTCATTAGCTAATACAGTTTTGAATAATTCATAGAATGAGATAGGAATACCTCGCAAAGTTTAAACAAAGTAATTACATGTACTCACTGTAAGAATGCATAACTCTAACTCTTTCATAGAGAGTAAAGTCTTCATCATAAGGCTCACAGTTCTCTATTGCCGTTGCCCTCCTAGTCTCTGACATATGATCTGGCCAAAGTGCCACCAACTCCCCATCCACCTCATCAAGCCAGATAGTTGGTAAGGTCTCAACCGATGCATCATCAAACTCTATAACAGCATACTGCAACAGAAAAACAGACAAACTTTTAAAACAAATGCGAAAACACACAAGCATTAACCATGCATGACTTTTTAAAAACAATAATTACCATTTCCAGCAAAACATTTTAAAT